TTAATCTTTCGTTTGCTCTTCTTGTACGCGACCAGTACTGTTTGTGGGATGAGGTCGCCATTGGACAGTCGTGAACATGAGCTACTCTCAAACAATGGCGAGATCAGCGCAGATGAAAATCTAATCATGGTTTTAGGAATATACACCGCAAAGGACCCAAAGGCCTTCAATATACAGTTGTAATGCTCTTCTTACGTATATGATGATAGTAATATTTGACACACACATATATATATATATCAAAATAATAAATAATTTACAGTTGAATACAAAATCAGTAATTGCCCCCATTCTGTCTTTCTTTCCATCTTCATTAGAGAACACCACTCATGCGATCGACATCGTGTCTCCCAACAGAAATCTCTATCAAGACCCCCTAATCACTCTGCCATCGGGTGTCCCATCGCCAGTCTCCACCTCCATTTCGTCTAACGGTACCACTTGCAGTAATTCGTCGCTGTTCTCCTCATCCATCGTGTGTTGTACTGTTCCAACGCTAGCGATGACCACACAAGTGACCCCAGCCCTTCCCACAGTACTCTCCTCGCTTCAATCTCGAATATTGGCTGTGCAAAATAAAGCTAACATTGTAGATCTTGATTCGTCCACATTATCCCCGAAACCCTCGGAAGATGTTAGTTCGTCATCCATTCGGATGCATGGAAACACGGACGGGAACAATCAAACAATCAGACGTGCATCGAGCGCCGGAATAGTTCTAACCACTGGACCTGAAACGCTACTTCCCGGGACATTGGCACTCGCTTCCAGGTAGGTATTTAGAACAGTTGCGACCCATCCCCTCCCCGGTGCAATTTGTGTAATCTCTATTTTGACTGTAAGCCTTAGTCTGGCTGCTCGATTGTCTCCCTTCCTGTCCCATTTTTGCTGTCCTACTCACATGCCAGTCCTAACGAATTTTCTCCCAACCGAATTGTGTTTGCTGACCCTGGTATAAGTGCACCTAGAACAAATCATCTATGATACACTAGTTTTTTTGGAACAAATAGTTCGTTCCGTTTTCTCTGTTACAAACCATTAATCAGGTAATTGTTCCCGATCAGAATGTCCCTTTCGTTTTTTTCACACTTCTAGCGTTTAATTTTTCGACTGAGGGCTCACTTATTCGATACGTCGGCCTCATGAATGACTGTGATCAGTCGAGGGGAATGTGCTTTTTTTGTGGCACGTCGTGCCTCAAGCCCCCACCTAATCAACGGTTTTCTGTAGGAATACAGAAGTGATCGCTTTGGTCTGTGTGCACACCGCTCCAAAGGATCTCGATGATACTCACCGGTTATTGTTACTGATCCCGTAAAGCGTCGTCCACTGCAGTAAGTGGTCGACCTCTCTGGATACCCTCGGGTAAAGTAGAGCTGAATGCTACCAGGCGCGTCCCCGGGTTGTGGATAGGGGATACATTCACTGAAGAAGGTTAGCTCTGAATAAGTTGTGGTATACCGCAACAAATAAACAGTCGCGAATAAACAGCGGCGGCATTATCAGGGTGTGGTGGGTTTCAGGCTGGTCACCTGGCTCCTGTCTAAAAGCCACATAAGCCCAATGACGGTGTCGTGACAAAGGTCGATGTGACTGGCCTTTTAAAACTAGTCATTGACCCCCTCACTTCAGAGCCGAGGGTTTACTTCCTGCTGCCTTGCAGTTCGCACTTAGTTGTGCAAAGGCTAGAGGTGCGCCCTCAAAATAGAAAAACGCCAAGTGACGCTGGGGACGTTTCTCGTGCCGAACTCCCCAGTACCTTCATGATTATTTCATGGAGCCGGCTTATCCTTTCCAAGGAGCCAGCCGTAGTAAAGTAAATAAGATTACGTTGTTTGAGACTTGTGCAGTGCATGTCACCAAATAGGTTACTGAGGTAGGCAGTGGATAAAAAAGGTCAAGGGCGGTCAAACTAAGACTTGGCACAAGGGTATGAAAACCCTAACCAGGAAACTGGGTCTCATAGCTCCCGTTAGGCTTCCTGGATAGGAACTCCGAGATTATGATAGCCGGTGGTTAGAAACGCTGAATGTCGCAAACAGCGACGCTCATATCTCTACTAAATATTCTTGCAATCTCAGTCTATATGAATTCTCTATCTTCCCTTTGACTCTGCTCTCAACATTTCAATCTTCATTCTGCTAACTCATCCAAACGAGCGGCCAAAAGATTGCAAAACCGCTCAGGAAAGTGCACATGGTTAATGGTTGTAAAAAAGAACTGAAAGTGATCACATCTCCAGTTTGCGACTAGAAAAAACGCTAATGCCCAGGGGAAACATCTAATCATGGATTGAGTTTTCATCTGTAATGGGATCTCCCCACTGTCTGCAACCAGAATCCGCAAAGTTTTCTGTTCATCTATGTGAACCTGACCCAGCGTTGCCTGATGCCACAGGTAGTACCTGACCGTGCAAGTACTGGAAAGCAGAGCAAAGTAGAGTAGCACTGTGGATGCTACGTTTTATCGTATTCCTAAGGTTGTTCATGAATCGATTGGAGTACCCGCCGACCTATCCTCATTTGAGAACAAGTTATACAAGTATAAAGCTAGTCTATTCGTCATTCGCACTTTTTCCCCCCGTGGTAGATCAATCTGTTAGTCTCAGTCCGATGATTCTGAGTGCCCCATACATGACAAATTCTTGTTTTGTTGCCCGTGTTTGACCGTCTGAACCCGTTCTCTCTCAAAAACCACAGTGCCTATCACACCGCGTCTTACATTGCACTTGGAGGGTTTGGCTATATCCAAACTGTGCAAGGAAAAAATTTCTGATTTGCTGAGTTATAATGCACAATTGTGCGGACGTCACAATCACGTCCTTCGTTGTTTATCAGTCAGTAGGCATGGTCTGTGATAGTCATAATTAAACGATTCAACTATTCTGTTGATCAGTGAGTAAAACTAACCATTTGGAGCATTTTTTGTGCTCATTAGACCAAGCGGCCCACCCAGCGGTACTTTTCTATACTCTTTCCTAAACCTTATGACCTTATGTTCCAAATTTTGTTAGTGGGTTGCGTGCCTCCGGCCATCCTGTGATTTACCAAATATGTGTCTGTCCACACTTCGGATTTGTACGGATTCAAACACTTTCATAGCGTTTGTCTGAGGGTTACTCATTTTTTTAAAATTTTTGCGGTCGCAATCAAAACGTATTTATTTCTCTCTGTCTTCTTTCCACAGTCTGTTTCGTCTCCCCGTTCATCACAGTAGTGTACATTCACATGGTGCATTGTATGATTCGGTCACGTGTACATAAGACCACACAAAAAATAAGCTAGCCAACTGTGTGCGTGTGTGTGTGCGTGCCCGCGCGCGCAAGAGAGAGAAAGAAAAAAGACCTCAATCTGGCTCGATCCTAACCCCGTTCCGTGATCATGGGTTTGTTTGAACCAGCCTTAGATCTATTGGTCACGCAACCGCGATCATGGCTTGGACATGCATGACATATGGTCATTCTATGACGATCGCATGCTTTTTGGCATATAGACTTACACGCGATAGGTTTTTGTCTACTATCTCTACTGTTCACTGATTGCTGTAGAATTCGATCGAGAAAACAGGGCTCTGGGGATTGGAGCTTTACACACACACACACACACACACACACACACACACACACACACACACACACACAGAGAGAGAGAGAGAGAGAGAGTACACATCATCCTAGTGTGCTCGGATTTGGCTTCTGTTGGGGCTTCCCGGCTGGAGCCCCAGAGATTCAGATTGTCTTTGGCTAGAGGCACTGCGGGATATGGCCTCGAGCCGAAGTCAGTGGCATGAATGAATTCCTCCCTATGTGCGATCCCCAAAATAAACTGTTCCTATAACGATTGGTTATTTTGGCGCCTTATGTGCAACAATTATATATGTATATACTTGTGTGTACTAAAAAAGTTAAAAATCCAAAAAAATGGGAAGTAGTAGGGCATATACTGCTTCATCAAATAGACTTATCCTTATGTATAACCGCTCGTTGATAGCGTTGCTGTGAAAAAGGAAATCCCGTTTAGTTTGCACAATCAGAGCAGTGCTACACGCTACTGGGAGCGTCCCCAGGTATCCGATACGACAATGATCTCCAATTCACAGCTAAATATGAATAAATTTGATATAGGCTCCTTGAAATGCAGTCGCGGACGATCAGTGGTGGTTTCCTCACCTGGTGAGGGTTCCCCATTCCCTCCCCCCCCAGAACACCACAGACCTGCACCTAACGCCGTGACTTAGCTTGCTCCTAATTANTCCTAATTACGGCTAATGCTCCTTGTCGAGTTCCATTTACCATGCAACTGGTTACCGACTGATCTGACAGAACGCTGTTGCGTTGGGGTTTGTGCTTCGTTGCACAAAGACCAGGGCGTATCCTCCCACAAGATCCAATGCAAACCGAGTGAAAGAGTAGCATAAAAACCTGAAGCGCAGACAGGCATAGACGTTCTTGACTCATCAAAAACGTATCCTGAGTTTTACTAAACAGTCGTGAGCTCTTTTACACCGTCTACGTTTTCTTAATTCCCCGACTTGCCTGTATTTCACCGCCCCCTCTCCTTATTCTGCCACACACCAATTTCAATCATGAATTTCCGATGACTGTACTCACAATAGTGCTTCACATGGAAATCCCACTCTTGTCCCCTCGTGTCCTGTTTCTCATCAAAGCCTAATCCATCTCCTGAAGCTCTTCGGCCTCGATTTCCTTTCAAACTAGCGGTTTCCGCACACACCGCCCTGTTTTGCGGGGCAGGCTTTGACAAACCGAAAGTTCTGATTGTAAATCCCCGCAGAAATGTTCATCTGTCTTAGACTAGGTAGGTTGACATTTTTCGTCTCACTGGGAAACAGTGATCCATTTCTTTGTCTTGTGAGGAAAGTTGTGCCGTGACTTGTTTGGCACAGACTGAAAAAAGACTGTTGTGCAATCTAATAATAAATGTGAACCCCAAGTTTTCCATAGACGCACAACTCGTGTGTACATTTCCTCCCACCCTACCTCCCCCCTCCCACACACACCGGGAAAAGTGGGGGTACTCTTTCGCTTTCTCTGTTTTGCTTCCCAGAACAATTCAAGGCATAAACTAGAATTTATTATTTTATTATTATTAACACCAATCTTTACAGATACCGCGCCAAAGATAACCATGGGTGAACGAAAAAATACAAAAACGGGGAAAATAAAACAGTCAACTTGGAGGAGTAACCATTTTTTTCGTTTCTGTTTAATTTTGGGATTGTAGACAAGAGGTGATGCATTCACTCCACTGACTTCGGTTCGATGCCATATCCCGTATTGTCTCCTGCCAAAGACGATCTGAATCTTTGGGGCCCAGCCGGGGAGCCGAGAAACCCAAACAGAAGCCAGATCCGAGCACAATCTCTTTAACCCTCTGCACCATGTCATAGCCTGCCCACCTCGTTGTTTCTTCCAGCCTGGATCGATGTCTGCGAGTAGTGCACGGTGTGGCAGACGGTGTTCAGCCATTCGTAGGACGTGCCCTAGACGATATTGTGAAATTATTTTATCCAAATGAAGACTATCTGGTCCTAGCTCCCGTCGTCTGACTTCATCGTTAGAGCGAAACAAAACCGTAGCTATCATGTTTCTTTTTTCGCTAGTACAATGTGTTAATGAGGACCCCCGTCCCGTCCCCGAACCAGTAGTGGTAGATAGCGTTGCTATCGTCCGGTTTAATACCCACGCCTAACCTAATGGTGTCTCTATGTGGTTCGCCACTCCAAGTCCCGCAGTGCTTAGATTGCCGGTTTCCA